TGAGGTTGATTTTCAGCTGATTATTCAATTCACTAACTACCAGTTCAGCTGTCATGCTCGATGTCTGTTTGGGATCGTCGTCTTTGAGGCCATATAAACGAATATTGTTCATTCTACTGTATTGTTCTGCGTCGTTTTTTGCGCCCCTTCATTGTAATTAATTTCTCTGTTAAGTCTATCTCTCATTGTTTGGTTATTTTCTTTCAGGGGCTTGCATTTCTTAGTTTTGATTGACTAAATTTTTTCTTTAAGTTTAGCACAGTCAGTTGCATTTTCTTTTAAAAGATTTATTGCTTTTGTTTTTCCCTTGAATTCATTGTGTAATTTATCATTTTGTACTGCCAACTCATGAATTTCTCCCTCTAGAACCCCAACTCTTTGCTCCACACTTTCTACGATGGCCTTTTTCATTTCATTCACCGTCTCTTTAATGAGATCTTTAATCCAAGATTGATCAGATTTTCTCAGGACATCATTTAGTTTTGTATTTATTTCTTCTAAAGGTTTTTCCATTTTCTCAATTTTCTGATATGGGGGGTTTTGGGGATTTTTTTCCAAGAAATCAGTCATTGTTTTTTGTGTTTTGGGATCAGAGTCTTTATGTTTCTGCATTTGCTTTTCGGACTTTTTTTTTCTTTTTTTTTTTGTTTATTAAGCAACGATGTTTCAAGTGCACTCGCACTAGTGTCTAATTCGCTAGTCGTTGAAGAGTATGCCCTTTTCTTTTGATCACTCATCGTAGTACTATGGTAAAACTATGTAAAGGGTTTAAAATTCTTTTCCCCTTTTTACTGGATTTCCCGAAATGGCCCGGGGCCACGGGGATTTGTGACGGTTTTATCATTGTGTTCACCAAAAAAATTTTAAAATTTTTCCAAACATCACCCCACCCCCCTTTCGAATGGGTAAAAAGGCGAAAAATTTTTTGGATTTACAAAAGCACATTTCCCCAATTTCAATTTAAAAATTTTTTCCCAAAAATAGTATTTTGGGAAAAAGGCAAAAACCCCTTACTTTTTTAACCCCGACATCCCCTTTTAAAATGTCCTTTTCAAAAATTTTTTTCTCATTTTCAGGTTTTAATTTTTTCCCCAAACCGGAATCATCCGGTAAAGTAAAAAACTTAAACATAAATAAAAATTCTTCTTATGGGGGGTTTTTCCAATTTTTTGTTCAAATAAAAGCCCTGGGGTTTAAACTGGCCCCGCTCCGGGGGCCTATACACAGGTGAGCGACCTCAGGGCCATCATGGCCCTCTTGTATTTTTAGCCGCTTTTGGACCTCAGTGGAGTTCCTTTAAGCACATAGTGTTCAAAAGTGAGTTTTGTGATGACTTGATGGTCCATGTCTGCTCTCCATCATGGCCCTTTAAAAGAAGTATTTTAGTATAAACAAACATTTATCTATCTTAGCTTAACTGTGATGAGACCTTGAAGCTTATCTAAACCACTCCGGTGTTCACTTTCTCAAACTAACCAGGCCTGGTGTCATATGATGAAACATCGGCTTTACCCAAGTGGAGCTTGAACCTTAGATCCCTGGGTGAAGGTATGGACACCTTAGCCACTATGCCACCACAATTTTTTTCCTATTTGTGTTTCCTAAGAGCTGATGTAAGATTTCAAGTCAAATAATCATGGTTGTAATATATTGAGGATTTCTATACTGAATTCATACACACAAAAAATAAATAAATAAAACTTTCACATCCTTCTTTTTTGAGTGGTGAATGAAAAACAACAATTTAACTGTACTGAATTATTAATTCTCGGAAAGACTGAACATAGAAAATACCAATTTCCTGTTACTATCAAACTATTCCATGATGATTTTCAGAGTTTGAAATTTCATTGTCAAAAGGTTACACTAACATGTATGCCCCTTATGCTGCTGGAACTTAAAGAGAGAAGCCCTTGCTACCAGTATATGCGGCCAGACCAGCCTGCACATTTATGCAATCTGACAAGGCTCTATACTGGTGACTGAATAACTTAAAATTTTTATCCGAGATAATTATCTATCAATAGAAGCTGGACAAATCCATTTATGAAATACAGCATGATTATTAAGTATTAATTATCAGTATAAGGGATAAAAAGTGTCTGTTTTGAGATAATTTGAGCCGCGCCATGAAAAAACCAACATAAAGCGTTTGCGACCAACATGGATCCAGACAAGCCTGCGCATCCGCGCAGTCTGATCAGGATCCATGCTGTTCGCTTACAAACCCTATAACAAGTAGAGAAACTGAGAGCGAACAGCATGGATCCTGATAAGACTGTGTGGATGCGCTGGCTGGTCTGGATTCATGCTGGTCGCAAACCCAATATGTTTGTTTTGTCATGGCGCAGCTCATTTCTTTTATTTTCTTTTTCCAGTTACAATTCCAAATGACATGCAACAAATGAAAAAAAAAAAAAAAAAAAAAAAAAAAAAAAAAAAAAAAAAAAAAAAACAGTCGAATAGACTGCTGATATTTTTGTTTACCAACATGTTTATTTATTTATTTTATCATATTTATGTTTTGTGTGCCCTCATTTAGGGAAACAAGTTCCCAATTTAATCACAAAACTATATTGTAGGCAAATTATTTCTAATATTGCTTTGCAATTTAGGAAATATGTTTATTTCTCATTTATTTCTTTATACATTGTTGATTTAATAAACTAAAGTGTTCTAAATTCTCTATCAATTCTTGTCTTTGATAATGATATTTTCCAATATCAGAAAAACTAACATTTTACCTTATAACATTTCTGGAGTCTTTAAAGTAACCAAACTGTTAAAAGTCATATAACTTTTATATGTTTCATCAGAACAGCGGCGATATGTGCTGATTCGCGCAGGCTGGTCAGGATCCATGCTGGTCGCAAACGCACTATGTTGGTTTTGTCATGATGCGGCTTATTTCTTGAGATTGAGAGTCTTGAGTTATACCATTTTATCGTCCTGGGTTTTACCAGTGTCTTATTCAGTGTGGGAGACATGTTTTACCATTATTTAAGGAGCACATCTTCAGATTCATGCTTATTTTCATGAAAATTTATAAAATGTATTTAAAAGTTAAATATTGTGAAATGAATGTAATTTGAACATTGCAAACATCACTTTTAATCTGTGTAAATTAGCCAGAATATGCAAACATGGCACTTAATGCATTAGTAACACAGAAATATAGTAATAAATACTGCAAAATTAGTTCTTAATCACACATGGCATGTAAGTTATTACTTAAATCTTATTTTTCTTTCTTTTCTTAAAATTTTAGTACATTTTTCTCCAGTGTAATTTTGTTGAAAGGCTCATCTGTTGGCATGCAGCTTTAAGCTCGAAAAATGTTAGAAAACCCTCTCTGATATACAAGGAAAGGTAAATCCTGCACAATCTTGCAGTATGATCAGACTATTTATTATTTAGTGCATAATATGAGAATTTTAACATAGAAAATCCCTTTAATCAATAAAGTAAGTAGGTAAGGTAAGTTCATGGCAACAAATTTAGGAGACATTAAGGTTAAGCAAATTTAGTTCATTCACTTAACAGAAATTTATTTGTTTATCTTTATTCTCACATGTTATTAAGTGAATAGTGCAATCTAAATGTAGGCCAAATAATTATTTAGGATCTGTCTGGAGACTGTCATTTTCTGAATATTAAAAACCTCTCATAGAATTAGAAATTTTCAGAATGATCAGACGCGGTGAACATTTATAAGGTTGCCGAAGACCTATCTTTTAACATGTTATATATAAGTATTAAGGTAATGTATGTGCTTAATTGGGGTGTATCACGCTAAATATGAGCCGCGTCATGACAAAACAAACATAATGTGTTTGCGACCAGCATGGATCCAGACCAGCATGCGCATCCGCGCAGTCTGATCAGGATCCATGCTGTTCGCTTACAGACCCTATAACAATTAAAGAAACTGATAGTGAACAGCATGGATCCTGATCAGACTGCGCGGATGCGCAGGCTGGTCTGGATCCATGCTGGTCGCAAACCCATTATGTTGGTTTTGTCGTGACGCGTCTCAAATAATTGCCACGCCAAATGCTACCACGCTGCAAATAAATTTAGATAGACTTGTCTTGTTTTCAAGCTAGACAAAAACTTTTTAACAATTTTATGGACAATTTCTAGATAATTACAGACTGAATAGCGCACAGTGAAGACTTATGATCAGATAGCATTGATGTGCGGGCTGACCTTGGTCCGCATTTGTAACATGTGTATATCCTGCTGTCTGCTATTTTTGCAGATAAATGAAAAGTAAATTATCCTTTGATTTAATTTTGCATAGAGAGCTCTATGCAGAGCACATTATAATATTGGGCTTGTTTGTAATTTATGTAATTAGACCTTTAAGAGTTATGACTTAAGTTTTAAGTGTTATTTATATTATTTGAGCTTTAAGTTTAATTTATGCTATTTTGAGCTTTATTTTAAGAGTTCTTCATGTTTAATATGCTTTTTAATTGTATATGATTATGTGTTATTCGATCTTTGAATGTTGTCATGTGATCTCTGTGTAATTATTTGATATATTTATTAGAATCCCCACTAAACTTCAAGTCCTTTTCATTTTCAAGTTAAAACAAAAAAAAAAATCTTCCTATTCTGGGAAGTAAAAAGTTGTGGAAATACTTGAAATATCATAGAGTTTATTGGTTTAAATTGGTTCAATAAAAGAAGTGCGTAGATTGCACGGTTTACACTGGAATGGAACATCAAAACAATTTTATCATTTGCCAAAATTATAATAACTTATTCAAAATAATCTTGTTATATCATAATAAAAATATAGGAGAAACTTTTAAGAGTTTTGATGAACCAAATTTCATAAACATGGCCCTAAAAGTGTTTAACTCGAACTTGGAAAGGAAAAAAAGTCCTAATATTTAAAAGTATTGCACCAAACTCTATCTTTGCTTGTACCAGTCCCATCTCTACTGTTATTGAGATAAGAAACTTAAAATCACAATTTTTTCATTGAATAGGTGATGATCAGTTGGCTAAACGGCGTAAAAAGAGTGGACGGACATCATCATACGCTAACGTCCAAAAATATTTAATAGAAAATGAACAGACCGTCTTGCCACAGCAGATGACGACCCCATTCCCATATTTACCACCACATAAAATGGAGTCCTCCTTTCAGTCACCGGGTATCTACAACGACACTGACACAAACTCGACCACCTACTTCTCTGACTCTACTGAAACAAGTAATTTGAGTAGTCCGCTCACGAATTTTGCCCAAGACATTATAAAAACTAAAAAAAGTGAAGACAAGTAAAATGGTTTCCTGCGGGGAACATTTTTAATGATATAAAGATATTTCATTGAACTATTTTCAACATTGTTTGTGTGTGTGGGGGGGGGGTAAATAAACGCTTGTATCCAATAATCGATCAATATAGAAGAACTGGTGACCGTTGAAGACCGGAGAAGGTTGGACATAAAACAATTATTTCTTTCTAAGAAAATGATTAAATATGCCTTCCATTTTATGAATCATTCCGAATAAAGCAAACACACAAGTTTACGCAGAAAATATCTCTATTTATTATGGCAGATGCCACTACGAATATTTTAATTTTGTAGATTTTCGGTATAAACAATTTATGGTTTGTAAAATTGGATTTTTAAAGAAACATTGATAATTTTCAAACACATCATTCAAGTTTTCCACCTTAAACGGTAAAATAATTATAGAAAATTAGAAATATCACGTAATAGTTTTTTGTTCTTAATTAGGTGTAATTCGAATAAATTCCCTAGAGTTGAATCTGTAACGTACCGGCAAACGGTATTTAGCTAGTTTTTCGAAAAGGTCAATTAACCAATCATGTACGGTTTACAGATCACATGCTCCTCCATGTACCGAAAACAGGTCACGTGCTCCTCCATGCCTCAAAAGTTAAACGCGTACCAATACCCTGCGGTCTCCAGACCGCAGGGAATGATTACACGAGACCTATGGATCTGGAGTTAAAGGCAGAAATTCGGAAGTTGAAAAAAGAATATGCGTCAGTGTTCGATAGTGGTTACTCGGAAGATCAGGCTAAAAAACTGGTTGAAAAGCCGTATAATGCTAACGACTTGTTCAACATGTCAGATGTTTTTATACGGCGCTTAATAAAATTTGCCAACCAAATTCCCGAGTTCAAGAACTTCAAGCTTGAAGATCAGATTCATTTATTACAGGTTATGTTTGTTGATTTTTATTTATATTTTTGAACATCTTTTAGCTTGAGTAAACAGGGTTATGAAAAGCTGTCTTACTCATAAAATGTATGTTTTTTATCAATGTGACAAATCTTTCGTAAGTGAATCCAGTATTCAATTAGTTGAGCATAATTTCTCCGACAGCTCTTGTCTTGTTCTTTAATTATGAAAATGTAGTCTTGGATAGCTAAGATAAGATATGAATATGTATGAATAAATGTATAAGTTGTTAAGTTAGCGACGCAGAAATATTGAGAAATTTTGCGAATTGGTGATAATCGCTAAAATTTCATCTAGCGTAAATATCAACCTCTAGCGTAAATTTTAACCAACCTGTCATTAAATTCTACCCTTTAATGATTCGCTAATACTTCTTAATGCGATGGGTTTAAAATTTTAAATTCGCTAACTTTTTGGACACGCAGAAATCCACTTATACACTACAGTACCTACTTTTGTAACTTCTGTGCTTTGCTGCTAGCTTATTGTTGACCCATAGTTTCACTGCATGGAATAATGCATCGGCAGGCATGGGTCCGAGGTATTGTCCCACCACCATTGTACACAACATCATGACAGCGTTAGTGTGGCTTAAACACAACCAAAATAGTTTACCAGAAGCATAAATAGTTCATGATACCTAAAATGCATTAATATACTAATTGGTGAGAGGTATGTAAATTAAAGTTGGTAAGCAACAAAGCAAATAAGCAACTTAACAATAGCATGAATTTGTATATTATTTGAAACATTTTGCATAACTTGGCAATAGCAAGAGAATGAAAGCTAGTTAGTTGAAATATTTTTACCTCTTGATTAGCATTGCAGAAAACTATTTGTACGTTACCTATTTAGGTTATTGTAATGAAGGCTTTTAATTGTATGCTAACTTATAAATACAGTCATTTATCACAGATGTGAAGTCTGAGAAAAGATACGTAAAATTTCTTGCAAATGAATTTTTGCGCCTTAGTAGAATTTCCTTCCACTAGATTTCTATACTTCAGGGTTGACTGAACACTACTGCTAGACAGTCTGTCCTGAATTCTGATCAGTTAAAGCATTAATGTCGTTGTTTTACATCTTTGAATTGTGTCATGGCCACATAATGAGCCCACATACCGTCAATAACTTATCCTTTTAAATTGTTTCATAAGGTATTTTATTAGTGATACTGGTGTATCATGTAATCATCATTCGCATATATAACATGTAACTATTACCTTGAGATGTAGGCTATTCAACTGAATGGATGTGTTTCAAATTAGCTTGTTTAAGATTTTGAATATAGGATACTAGAAACAAAGCTGCCAACAAAATAAAGCCGGATCTTTCTTGTCTGGCTGTAAATTGGTGCCAAAGTCAATATTGCTGCCAGTGTAATGAGAGAGGTTACATGAAGATTTTGTCCTCTCATTGATCACCTATATAACCACCTCCGTGGGCGAGGAGTTAGAGTCGATGACTTCTAATCTAGTTACCTCTCTGGCGTGGGTTTGTTCCCCGGGAGATGCTTTGGTAGTTTAGCGCGGAGGAAGGTAGTCTAGTACTGGTGAAGCTCTCCAGGAACGACGGTTAAGGAACTACCTGCCTATATGACTAAAATACTGTTGGGAAAAGGCGTAAATTCAAACAAACAAACAAACAAACCTATGTACATTTATTCATGGGCTGTGTTGGGAAATTATAAGCGACCCTAAATGTGTTTGACTTAAGACAATAAATAAGAAAAACTTCGACTGAATCAGCCATGCAACAGCGGTAATAGTCATTAAACCAGCTCACCGCTATGGTTATTCAATTGATGACACCACAATAAAGTTAAAAATAAATTAGATATATATTACGGTCAGTTAGCATGAATAAAACGCAACGGTCACTGTGGTGTAGTGGTTAGCATACAGGACCGGCAATCAACAGACCTGTGGTTCGCGTCTGGACTGCAGCTTGGCTATTTTATATGTATACACAAACACACACAAAGAAATTTAGTTCTACAAAATTTGTCTAAAATACTGTGGAAAGATTTTTAATAAATACTTATTAGTTATTTACTTCTTAAGAAGTTTAATTAAAATTTAAAAAAAAATGTTTTTACATATTCATATAGGTAAAAAACACAAAGTGGTTATGTTTGGAAATTCAATACTTAAATAAGTTTTTGATAATTATATAAGGTAACTGGTGATATAAGTGTATAAACTTGTTCATTAATTATCTACTTGGACAGCTAGCTCCTTATTTGGTTTTTATATCCTTACCATAAAAGCTGGGTTCACCATTATGCCATGAGGACATAAATGACGTGTCTTGTCATAAACAAATGAATAAAGACATGTGGAAAATTAATTTGTGATCAGGCATAGAAACTTCTTTGAACTCCATGAGCAATAATGTCATTCTGGTGCTGGACCATCCCATACTTCCATGAAATATGTCAAGATTTTATTTCCATTGCTGGTTAATTTTAGAATTTGGATTTTTAAAAGGATTCATATATTAAACAGGGTACTATATGGGAAGAGACTGTCCTCTTAGATTAACAGAACTTGTTGTTTGTTTATCCTGTTATTTATTGTAGGACTCCACTGACATTTTTTACATTACGGGACTGGGAATATTTTTTTTGAGATTAATGTTCAATTTGATGTAGGTCTAGACTTATAACTTTGTGTGCAAGTTTGATATCATTAGCTCAAAAGACAAGAAAAAAAAGCTATTGATACAGTCATGTTGTCATTGCCAGTGCTGTTGAGGTCTGCAAATTTTAACATTGGTCATAATATTTTTCTTTCTTAAAGGGCGTTCACGGCCGAGTGGTTAAGGTCGTTGACTTCAAACCACTTGTCCCTCACCGCTGTGGGTTCAAATCCTGACCGGGACTTTGGATTCTTTCATGTGAGAAAGCTATCCAGCTAGAATACGGACTGTCGGTGGTTCTACTCAGGTGCCCGTTCCTGCCTAAAATAATGCATCTGAGGTCTTCCTCCACCAGTAAAGCTGGAACGTCGCCAAATGACCAATACTGTGTCGGTGTGGCATTGAAACCCAAACACAACAAATTTTCTTTCTTAATGACCATAACTTTTGTTATTTATTTATGGATTTATACTTAGACAAAAAAACACTTTTCAGAGGACCCGTAGGTTGAATAATTCAATATGACTTTGACCTTTATTTGACCTTGACAATTAAGGTCAAACTATTGAATTAATTCAAAGTGTCATATTTGTGTAATTTACTTTCAGAATTGATTCATACTTGAACATTGTACCCTTATGTTGAATTTTACTGATATGACTTTGACCTGTATTGTACCTTGATTTCCAAGAACAAATTATTTAAATTTGCTTAAATTGTCATAACTTTGTTATATATTTACAGATTTGATTTATACTAAGACAAAAGAAACACATATGACAAAACCAACATGTTGAATTAGTCTGCTATGACTTTGACCTGAAATGACCTTGACCATCAAGGTCAAATTATTAAAAATTGTTGTGCCCCCACGATAAAGGGGGGGGGGGGGCTTTAGATTTACCCTTGTCCGTCCGTCCGTCCGTTCTCTTTTTGTGTCACACGTAGCTCAAAAAATAATTGACCTTGTCATGAAACCTTACAGGAATGTTGATCAGTATGTGAAGTTGTGCACCTGGGTATTTTCATGTGGATATATTTAGTATTTTTAGAGTAATTGACCCTGACTTAGTAAAAATTTCCAATTTTCAACTTGTGTCGCATGTAACTTAAAAAGTATTTGACCTAGAGTCAAATAACCTTACAAGATTGTTGCTCAGCATGTTTAGTTGTGCACCTGAGTTTTTTCATGTGGATATTTTAAGTACTTTTAGATTTATTGCCCTTCAATAAGTAAAACTTTCAAATTTTCAACTTATGTCGCACTTAAATAAAAAATATTTGACTTAGAGTCATGAAACCTTCCAGGAATGTTTCTCAGCATGTGTAGTTGTGCACCTGGGTATTTTTGTATGGGAGTTATTGCCCTTGACTGAGTAAAAATTTATAATATTCAACTTGTGTTGCATGTAACTCAAAAAGTATTTGATCTGTAGGCCTGAAAGTATACAAGAATGTTGGTCAGCATTTGTACTTATGCACCTTTTGGGTTTTCTTGTGCATTTATTCAGTATTTGTAGTATTTGCCCTTTACTTAATACAATATTTTTAGTTTTCAACTTTGGTACATGTAGCCAAAAAAAAAATGTTTGACCTAGAGAAATAAGATTGACAAATCGGTTGAGTATGGACACATTTGACAAAATTTACATGATTATTAACTCAAATGTGACCTTGACCTTTAACTGACTGACAGTCACGATCAAGTTTGTGACATGAATTTAATTTGTTACAAAAATAAAAATGTTTGTTGGATTATTCTTTACAATGATATTTTTCCTCTGGGGTTTTATTTTAGAAATAAGAAAAAGTTGACATGGGCACTAGCTAAAAGCATATTCATGATTAAAGGGTTTGATCATGGCAAGTTTGTTGATACACTAGATATGCTCAAAGAGGATTAAGTGTAAGAATATTATTGGGCAAGAGATAAACAATAGGGTTATTTACAGGTAAAATCAGGACAATTGATAATTCATCAATGTTGATAGAGGAGGCATCTTTTTACTATTGATCTTTATTTGGCCAAGTACATATATATTTATTACCCTTCCAGATTTTTTCCGCCTTTTTGATTGGTTATTGATCACCCGAAAGAAATTGATATTACCGAGCCAGACGGGTATTATACAAACTAAATTTCCCCGATGGGTACCCCACGTTGTAAACAACATGCGCTTAGGTGATGCGCGCACGGTTCGATTTTACGCGGTGTACATTCCGATTTACAAGCACTTTTTAACTGTCAAATGAAAAATGTTTACCAAAGTAAAGTAATGATACATATTCCCATCAGTATTGAAAACAAATATAACCTTGTGAAAGCTTGATATTAATTACAAAAAAGTGCGTTCAATAGACTACTCCTTTTCTCTTGTTTACATTCGTTAGATACGGGAAAAATACGTCATGTATTTATGTGACGTCATGTTGTGATGAAGGGGTACCCTTAAGGGAATCTTATTTAGACGTTTCATTTGAAACAACAATGATTTTTTTTTAAAAATCGTCTAAACTCGACAGGGGAAGGGTAATAAAATTATTATTTCGGTTTTGGAGTGATATATGTGGATATATTACCTGCCAAGATAAAATATCACCCTCGCCTAACGGCTCGGGTGATATAAAATCTTAGCAGGTAATATATCCACATATATCACTCCAAAACCAAAATACAGTAAAAACCCTCAATTAAGACCACCATCGGGACTGGACCAAAGTGGTCTTAATTGCGGGGTGGTCTGAATTGTGGATATTCTTATCATTGCTTACCCATGTTATGACCAAGCCCTATTTTACTCATTTTGTATGAACAACCAATGTGTATATATGAAAGTATGTTATAATTTAACATCAAATGGGAAGAAAATATATTTCTGAAGAAATTTAATATCAAGTTTTCTTTGTTCTGATTTCAATAGTAATTATTGTATGTTATACATATTAATTCACATATCATATTAAATATCCCATAAATAACATTTTTTGACACTTAGTGTAATCAAGTGTCATGCCTAAGAGCAATCAAGCAGATAATAACAACACAGCAACATATTTTAGATCTAGGAAGGTGTTGATTTTAATATCAGTGGTCTCAATAGTGAGGTCAAATAAAGAACAAAATAATGAATTTGGACTGAATTTGGTGGTCTTAAAAGTGGATAAGTGAGGTGGTCTTAATTCTGGATCATGTAGCCATTGACATAAAGAACAGAAAATTCCGTTCTTTTGAAAACTGGTCTTAAAAGCGGGGTGGTCTTAAATCCGAGGTGGTCTTAAGTAGGGATTCTACTGTAACATATAATATATATATATATATATATATATATATATATATATATATATATATATATATTTTTTTTTTTTTTTTTTTTTTTTTTTTTTTTACCCCCGCCAAAAAGTGTGGGGGGGGGGGGGCTATAATGGATTTGCTCTGTCGCGTCGGCCGGTCGATCGGTCGGTTGGTCGGTGTCAGTCGGTCTCCATTATCGTGTCCGCTCTATAGATCCTATACCAATTGAAGAATTTTCTTCAAACTTGGCTCAAATGTTCACCTCAACAAGGGGATGTGCAGAACCCATGTTGCCCATGTGTCAGCTCAAGGTCAAGGTAACAATTGAAGGTCAAATGTCAAACATTATCAAATATTAGACAGTATGTCGTGTCCGCTCTGTAAGTCCTACACTTATTGAAAAATGTTCTTCAAACTTGGCTCAAATCATCCCAACAATGGGATGTGCAGAACCCATGTTGCCTATGTGTCAGGTCAAGGTCAATGTCACAATTGAAGGTCAAATACCAAACAATCAAATATTAGACAGTATGTCGTGTCCGCTTTGTAAGTCCTACACTAATTGAAATATTTTCTTCAATCTTGGCTTAAATGTTCACCTCAACAAGGAAATGTGCAGAACCCATGTTACCCTTCTGTCGGATTAAGGTCAAAGTCACATTTGAAGGTCAAAAATTGACTAAGAAATTATTCTTAAATTTTAACATGTATTTGAATAATTCTGAAACTGGAGAAGGTATTTGCTTGAAACTTAAAATATATTTGTGTCACAATTAAGATATGCTGGTCAAGTTTCATAACTCTGTATTGCATTTTAACAAAGTTATGCCCTTTTTTAAGTCTTCAAATTTGCATACAATCAAATATTAGAAAATATATCGTGTCTGCTCTATAAATCCTATACTAATGGAAGAATTTTCTTCAAACTTAATCAAAATGTTCAGCTCAACAAGGTTATGTGCAGAATCTATGTCACCTCTGTGCCAGCTAAAGGTCAAGGTCACACTTGAAGGTCAAAAATTGACTTAGAAAATGTTCTTAAATTTTAACATGTGCTTGAATATTTCTGAAACCAGCGCAGGTATTTGTTCGAAACTTAAAAGATATATGAGGTGTCACAAATAAGATATGCAGGTCAAGTTACATAACTCTGTATTGCATTTTGACAAAGTTATGCCCCTTTTTAATTCATTAAATTTACATACAATCAATACTAGACCATTCTATACTTATGGAAGGATTTTCTTCAAATTTTGATCAAATGTTCACCCGATCTGGGTAATGTGCAGAACCCATCTTACCCTTCAAACAGTTTTTTCTAACAAAAATCAAAAATTTGTTTAACTTTCATGAATAACGGTATTTTCTTGCTTCTTCTAATGCTTCTGTAAAAACCGGTTTGTTTGCATGGCTGAAAATAGCTTTCTTGGGAAATTCGAATTATAAAGAAGGCGAAACACTGAACTTGATTCAGATTGAAAGGAAATATTTCATACAACATATTTCATTCTAATTTATGGACGGATAGATTGCTTTATACACTTAATGAAGCGATTTTGCAATTGTCAGTTACACAGGTCATTAAGTTTTATTGTTTAGTAGTGATGAGGTGCAGTTTTCTAGAAATGATGGGTTCTTGGAACTAACAATAAAAAGCTGTCATATATATGTAAATGGTTACACAATGATAGATAAAAGTCAGAATTAAAGAGGTGTTTTAACAACTGACATAAACATGGAACTAGTATCTAGAATAGATGTTATTTGGAACTGAGTTAATGTGGACTTTCCCTTCCAACAAACTTTGACCGTTCTTACCACCTGTCACAATAGATTAGTCATCCTGTTGCACATTTTTTTGAAGTTGCAATGGCAAAAGTTTGTTTTTAATTCTTAATTATGAAGTTAGTTTATTGCTTAGTATAATACAGTAAACATTATAAAGGCTTTTCAACTTCATTATTAAGATATTGAAGAAATACACCCTGAATTAAAACAGAAAAAAATAATGTGATTCTTATCTCAATTCAAGTAAAATGTGTTTAATTACACACATTTAGGTCATTTGGCACACTAAAAAAAACATTCTTCAGGAAAAATGGAGTGAGGGAATGATCTAATATTATGCATACAAGTTTTGTTTTGACTGGTTTTCAAATGGTTTGAAAATTTCTGAATTTTTTTCCCAATTCCTTCATGTCAAAATAAAAATAAAAATATTTCCAATTCCTTCATGTCAAAATAAAAAAAATTCCAATTGGGTCATGTCAAAATACCTCAGCGGAGTTTTTTCCATCTAATATATAATTGCCTTATGTTATAAAGATCAATAAAAATGGCGAATGGAACCAAAGAAATTATAAACGATTAACCACAATTATGAAACCATCTGTGATGTATTCGGCATTTTGTCTCGAAGGAAAGGAAAAACAACAAATCCAAGATTGTTATTCCATTAAATTTAATTAATATCTATGGAAACACAAAAGAATTACGAATAAATCAAGAAGATGGAAAATTTTCAGGATCTAATTTAGATGGATTCTGCTCAGTAAAGTATTTCAAAGGTATATCTACTAGTGACCAATGTCACACCTCTTAGTGATCAATGTCACGCACACGCACACATACAAGAAAATTGACAAACAATGATTTTACCTGTAATGAAAATGAAATTTCATTAACACAGCAACACCTGTTATGAATTCTATAGCATTTAACTGTATATGAAAGACACAGGTATGCAGAGTGTATATTCATGTAATATGATAATGCCTTTGCACTCAGACACTTATATCCATTTCTCTGCACATGCATAATAATTGTCTTGTTTTATATTCACGGTCTACATTTAATAGGTCACTTCAAACATTTGTGGAGAAATATTAATGTGAACGGTATTATGTTAATCTTAACATATACATTTTATTCCTGCATGTATTTGTAAACAAATAATTCTAAAACAACCTGGATAAGGTTAAAAGCTTGCAGAAAGAGTGTTCAGATATTAGCTATTGTCAGAGCTTTCACCATTTGTTGTATCAAAAATACAGTCTGCCCACTTTGCTCTGTAGAGACAGCATTAGAATTGTTAGTTAGTTTGTTTGTTTGTTTAATTGGGTTTTACATCACATAGACACATTATATGTCATAAAGCGCCTTACCAGCTTTACTGGTGGAGGAAGATCTCAGGTGCCCTTTCATGCATTATTTCAGGCATCAACGGGCACCTGAGTAAAACCACTGACGTTCCGTAAGCTAGCTGAATAGCTTCCTCACATGAAAGAATCCAAAGTCCCTGTCCGGATTCGAATCCACAGTGGTGAGGGGCAAGTGGTTTGAAGTTAACAACCTTAACCACTCGGCCACGAATACCCCCTGCATCAGATTTGTAATCTAGGGTCACTTGTTTGATTCTCTGGCAGGGTAGATATGAGCCGCGTCACGACAAAACCAACATAGTGGGTTTGTGACCAACATGAATCCAGACCAGCCTGTGCCTCCGCGCAGTCTGATCAGGATCCATGCTGTTTGCTATCAGTTTCTCTACTTGTAATAGGGTTTGTAAGCGGACAGCATGGATCTTGATCAGACTGCGCGGAGGCGCAGGCTGGTCTGGATCCATGCTGGTTGCAAACGCATTATGTTGGTTTTGTCATGACGCGGCTCAATTATGTCTTTGTGTCGATTGATTTCTGACATTGGGTCTAATGGTCATTTGTCTCTCACCACTGATTTAGGAATCAAATGCAGAGAGATCGGTATGAACTGGTTAGTTATCAAGGAAAGCTGGTTAGTTGGAACGTCTGCAAAAAAAGACAAGGTTTCATAATGCCATATTTCTTTGGTAACCATTGACCAATCTGTAATGGAATGCTCCTTTAAGGTCAAACCCTCTGTAAATGGTTCTCGTATGATAGACAAGTAACATTCATTAGTTGATCACATGAAAAAGTTGGGGTAAATCAAATCATCTTTTGATTATATTTTGGCGACATTATGCACAGTATAGATTGTATTTAAAGTGATTTTAATTGTCTTTTTCAGGGAGGTATTATGGAAATCATGGTGTTAGGGTCTGCGATTGGGTTTGACCCGAAAAATCACATGTGGAAGGTTAAACAAATGCAGGATACAAAAGAGCGTTATATCGATCCATCAATTATAAAGGAACAGCTATGTACGGGTATGTATACAGAACACATGAAATTCGTGAAAACTCTTCACCAACTCACGATGAGCAACAACACTATAATGACACTGATGTTCGTGATCGAGATATTCTCACCGGATCGACCGAACGTGAAAAACTTAGAGGCCATTACACAGGCTCGGGGTAAATTTACTCATTGGCTACAGATGTATTTAGAATCCATTATGCCTCTTTGCGAAGCACGCACTTTGTACCAGAAGCTCTTGATGATGCTTTTGGATGTGAGGAACCTTGGCGAGTCTGGTGCCAAGCTTGCTTCTCATTTAGACATTACAAAACTAGAACCGTTACTCATTGAGGTGTTTGATCTGCAGAAATGACGCTAGATACATTTCACTACAGAAAATTTGAAAACACAATGGAGTCACATGGGTTTGAAACTGTGACAGTATCGATTGATCTCTTATCAGACATTTGAAATTTTCCAGAGTTTGGACTTTTACCAAGGTGTTTTCGTAATTATGGATATTGTTATTTTATTAGTTCCCTTTTTTTCATATGAAAAATGGTGGAGCAATTGTCATGACCCACTTGTTGGCATTAGTTAACTTTTTCGATAATGTTGTAGCGCCGATATATGTCCAAACGTCGAAAAATGTCCAAACGACGATAAATGTCCAAAAATTGACGATAAATGTCTCAATCGCCGATAAATGTCCAAAACTCCTTTAACGATAAATGTCCAAAAATTAACGAAAAATGTCGCAACAAATTAGGTGCTCATAAATGTCCAAATCGGTTAACGATAAATGTCTCAACTTTTCATATGCTAATTTGTAATTTGTTGTATTGGATACTGTAACAGTCTATCCAACTAACCCGTGATTTTACCCTCTGGTTTACCCCCGACGTAAAATGTATCATACATTATTGTGCATGGCCAGTTGCAGATCCGGATGTGGCGCGGGGGCATGTGCCTTCTTAACTCACCAAAGCAATACGTTTTAGCATTGTTTGTGTTCTTCAATATTTTTGTGCCCCATATAGCGTTGCCATTGTCCGTCCGAGTGTCTAAGTGTCTAAGAACTTTTCGCTTTCCACGTGGGATTCTTTGCTAAATAAAGATTTTTTTTATAAACTATCTAAATTGTATTAGTATGTATATTTTTGCATTATGTTAACTGGTTACTAAGGCAGTATCGCTATTATGAATACAGAGTTATGTAAGAGTTATGTGCCCCAGGGTGATATAAGAAATATTCCCGGGGAATATATTCTAGGAGGGTGATATTCGATCAGAACACATTGTAGGCTCGTGGGAGTTTTTACATTGAAGGATATATTGAGGTATAATAATATATAATAAACACATGACTGTCGGGGTGATAGAGGATATTGTCAACACGAGAACTGGTATATATTACAACCGAGGCGCAGCCGAGGGTAATATGCCAGTTCAAGGGTTGGCAATATCCTCTATCACCCCGACAGCCATGTTGTTATTTATTTTATTATACCGAAAAAAAACCCTTAGGTCAGCAGTCTTTGCCTGAAAAAAATACAGATCATCACTTCACAATTATAGCGATTTTGATCTGTAAATGTTCGATATACACAAAAATAGTATAATGTATATAGATAAAAACAAGAGACAGACAGACAGACAGACAGACAGACTAGGAAATATATAATATTATGCTAACTGGGTACTAAGGCATTTTCGCTTTATGAATGAGTTATGTAAGAGTTTTGTGCTCCAAGGTGATATAAGAAATATTCCCCGGGGAATATATTCTAGGAGGGTGATATTCGATAAGAACACTTTGTAGCCCTATGGGAGTTTTACATTGAAGGATATATTGAGGTATACTAATATTAATGTTTAAATGACACCATCATATAGCAATTGTAATGTTACTATTCGAATACTGTGAAATATTTATTTTAATCTGGTGACAAAAATTTTTAACATTTCTTCTCCATTCGACAAACGTTATTTTGAAATTATCACAATTTGTCAATGAATATTTTCATCTTTAAACTGTTTTTACACATATATTAACTTGGTTATGTCTTGGTTGCAACTTCGGTAATGTACTGATGCCATTTCTTACGGTCTTCTGTACCATATATCTGCAATCTCGTACCAACAAAGGGCATCAGTAGTACGAATTATGTAATTAGTGTATATTTTATTGAACAGATCACCTATAACAGTGATTTTACGGGTGATTTGCTATTCAAACCTTTCTCGGGTAAGTCGAGGAAGACTTTCAAATATGAATACTGTCCTAGGATGATAACTTGAGCCTTTGTTTACATAACAAAGACCAATAACAATGCGGAAAAAAGGTTAGGCAGATCGATGCCACAACCTATAAAATAGAAAATAAAACTATATATTATCATATGCCTTGTTAGCGTAGTACTTAGGCAGAGCAACCATGTCAGAAATGTGTTTTACCCGTACAGGCAGAAGTTCGACTACTGTAAGACATAATTTTTTTTACCTCAGAACAGCCAATTGTTAAGAAACAAGTTTGACCGGTTTTTTCATATACTTACATGAATATGAGATCGAATATTTTATTACACTGCAATAGAAATACAAAAGAAAATAGAATGGAAATAAAAAAATAAATATATACAATAAAATATATATTATAAGAAGAAAACAAAAAGGAAAACGAAAAATAAATAAATAATAATGATAAAAAAACAGAGTAAGAAGAAAAAACTGTGGTTATGAAATGGCACTAAGTGGGTTTCGAACCTATGAGTACAAAACACTAAAAGTTACAACTTCTTCGATCTACCGGCAGAGCCATAACGGTAATAAACAATCCATTCTGTAAGAATAATGCTATATAGTATATGTAAGTGTTCACTTTTACGATATCTGATAATGATCCAGATAACCCCGATTTTGGACTTTCCCATGTACCGTTAAGACCAAATTTACATCCTAGGACAGTACCAATTCTACACTTGAGTTCACCTTGACCAAGACGTCCTCAATTCAAAGAATTTGAGTAGAGGTTGAGTTCGAGTGACGACACTGAATATAGCTGTAAGTGTAGAGTAGCGCAATGCAGATGTTAACAAGATATGTTTGTAAAACATGTATGCCCCCCTAAACACAGCCAATTTAATATAACATTATATTTTTAAATGTGTATAAAATGCATAGTAAATTTGTTATGGAATACATGTACATCATTACCATGGGTAAAACCAATATGACCCATGGGTCCATGAATTGAGTAAATCCTGTAGTTGTCAATGAGACAATGTTACACACAAAATATCTTCTAAAAACAAGCTTTTCATGGTGAGGTCACTGTGACCTTTACCTTTGACCTACTGACCCCAAAATCAATAGGGGTCATCTACTAGTCATGACCAACCTCCACATCAAATATGAGGACCATCAGCCAAAGCATTGTCTAGTTATTGAGCGGAAATGGCATGGTCTACGGACCGACCGACCGACCGACCGACCGACCGACATGGGCAAAGCAAAGGAGGGCATAATAACTTATTTTATTTGACTTTTTTATCGCTGGTACCGGTTGCCCATATGACCAACGGCCCCTGAAGATTGTTAGTATATTATTTTTCGGGGGATAGTGCATGATACAGAAGACGCCTCGTTCCAGAGGCGACCCTGGTTCTTTTAATTGCTCGGTGTAAAGCACCATTACAATGCACCTCGGTTTAACTTATTTTTAATAGTAAGGGAGATAGACTGTATCCAACAATCGACTTATTTTCAAATACATCTTTTAAACTTTTTTAACAATCTCACAAGCATCCCGCTAGAGTCCCGGGAATCGGTCGGGTGATCCAGGAACGACCGGGTACGTCCGTAACTCTGTCGGCAAAGTCCGGGATGATCAAGGGCTCTGCCGGGGCTCTATCGATGATTGTCGGCACTCTATCTGACCGTACCGGTGCTCTGCCGGGATCATACGGGACTCTGCCGACATCATCCGGGGCTGTGCTAGCATGGATCTCAGCTTTTATGATCTCTTTGGTCGAAGACTTAACAGCGTTTGAATATCGTGTTAGGTCACCCGTCGTCCAGTTACTATCTGCATTATCCGTAGTTTCAACTGGTTTCTGCATGGATGGCCCGGAGTTCATCCTGGTTGTTATAAGTATGGAAATTGGGTATCGCCGTAGTGCTACCGGGGTTATTGAGACTGCAACAATATTTTCATCCCGGATCGTCTGGGGTGGTCCTGGGCTTTGCCGGGATGCTGGTGAGAACGCTACTTAAATCGGTACTTTTAATCCCTATGAAAACCTTTATAACTGGCTGATGCATTACTGTTGATCATAGAAATAAGTGCAATTAACATATGAAAAATTGAGACATTTATCGTTAACCGATTTGGACATTTATGAGCACCTAATTTGTTGAGACATTTTTCGTTAATTTTTGGACATTTATCGTTAAAGGAGTTTTGGACATTTATCGGCGATTGAGACATTTATCGTCAATTTTTGGACATTTATCGTCGTTTGGACATTTTTCGACGTTTGGACATATATCGGCGCTACAAATGTCCCATAATTTCCCAGAAACTTTCAAAGTTTGTCACTTTCTATTTGGTTTACATTTTCACTTTCAGAATGGGATGCCATTTCTTAAAGACAATCTGAAAATTAGCTTACGCCAACTTGTGCCCGATTTTTTGACTGCTTTAAGTATTCTCTCTAGAACTAAGAAAAGTTTAAGGGGTCTTAAGACAGGTATTGTGTTAAATTTATCATTTCTCATACATTTGAAACTTACGGAAGCTTATCAGTGCCTCCACTTTTCTAATAGTTTCACGTCATGTCAACTTGTTTCTTCTCGTTTTGACCAAAACATTCCATGAAGACGTTTTGATTAATACGTAATACATAAAACATTCCATGAAGACGTTATGATAAAATATGTAATAAGTACAAGTTTTTAATCATTGCAAAAAAAACTTTGTTGAATTACGTGAGCTATTTGTCAATGCGAGTAACGTCTTTGCGTCTTACTAAATATTTCAGCAAAGTCGTGAAATCAAGAAGTTTCGACAGTTTTTTTGACGAAGAGACAAAAGCTTCAAGCATATTGAGAAAAAATCAGTTGCAATGCCTAAAAGCTTCTCATCTTTGTCAGTAAATTTTATTGAGAAATGCAAAAACATCTTATCAATGCGAATAAAAATTAGTCGACTTAGCGCAAAACATCTCACCAACTGTAGGCCCTTATTCGCTTCCGTAGACACTTGTCACATTTAAGATTACCTCAGTTAGTTAATCAGGTAGATGTGAAGTTGTTTTAGAGGAAGATACTCCACTTATGATATAGGAATCTTTTTGCTGTTGCTGATTTACCGTGAGGGTAAAACGTATATTAATGGACTGTGAAATATTTTCTCAAGAACAATAACAACCCCTATTTGAAAACTGAGCCTCTTAATTAATTAATATGTTCCTTTCAGATTTCAAATGCATGACCAGATAGCTGCATACAACTATGCATGCACAGACCTGCATACATAATAACATACCTGCATATGTACATACATACCTGCATATGTACCTACATATCTGCATACGTACATGCATTACT